GGGCAGGGCGGCATCTTATCCGCGATGGTCGAGGCGATGGCGGACGCCTTGGACGACGAGCTGGTTGTCGGCATCGGCCACGACGAGGATGAGGATGACGATCTGGGCCTCGGAGAAGGCGACGATGACGACGACGACGACGACGACGACCTGATGGAGGATGACGAGGACGATGACGTCATGTCCGACGGGGAGCACGGGCAGCACCACGGCCACCTCCATGGCGACCCGCTCGGCGCGGACGGCGGCCGCGGGGACGGCGGCGGGCACGGCGGCGGCGGTGGCGTGGCGGGCGGGTCGGACGCCGGTCTGGACGAGGAGCCAAGCCTTACAGAGGAGGGGGAGTCGGGCGGCTCGGAGGGTGGGGGCACGACGGAGGAGGAGGAGGAGGCCGCGGCCATGGCGGCAGGTGCGGGCCGGCCGGCCCGGCAGCGGCTTTGGGGGGACGGCACCCTTTGGCAGGGACCCGGGCGGGGGTGGCTCCTGCGTGCAGGGGGCACTCCTGCAGCCCTCTGCGCAGCCATGCCTTTGGAACCCCCTCACCGCCACTCAAACGCATACATTACACAGAGCTCAATCTCCCCAGAGCTCGGGCCCCTTATCTGGTGCTGTCTGTGCCCACCCTTTGGAAATTTATCAGTCCGCTGAGAGGTTCCATCCCTCCCACTCCCAATAATCAAAGCAGCCCACGAGCGCGCGGAAGAGGACCTGGCCCTGCTGCAGGAGGAGGAGGCCGCCGACCTGCTGGGCTCCGGCTCAGAGGGCGACGATGGCGGCGAGGGCGAGGAGGACGACGGCGGCTTCGGGGGCGCCGGCCTGGGCAACCACCACCACGCGGTGGGTTTGGAAGAGGGTGGGATGGCGTCCTGGGTGGTGTGGGGGCGGCACTCCTCACTCGTGGCTGCGGTTGTGGTCGCAGGCGCAGCGTTGGGAGGGTGGCTTTGCATTTTAGACCTTGCCCAGCGGCCGACTCTGTTTGAGGACGGCGGGTGAGAGCTCGTTGACACACACACACACACACACACACACACACACACAAACCTGCGTGTGTGCGCGCAGGGTGACGAGGAGCTTGTGGGTGACGAGCTGGACGAGTACGACGTGGCAGGGGCAGAGATCCGCGGAGAGGTGGTGCGCCCCCGGCCTCATGTCATTGGGGGCTGCCGCGCGGCTTTTTTCAATGTCTGAGACCCGTGGTCAGCTTCGCGCGACAGGCACGCCTTGGCCGGGGCGCTGTGTGCTTTCATCTCGCTTCGGCCGGCGCGCCGTGCTCCTTTTGGGTGTCGAGTGAAGGCGGCCCTCCCCTGTGCTGCCGCGGTCTTTCGCGTTGCTAATCGCCATCTCCGTCCGTCGCATCGCATCCCTGCTCGCAGGACGAGGAGGAGGATGAGGAGGTGGATGACTTTGACGACGATGACGAGGCCAGTGATGACGAGGACGAGGATGAGGTGGGGCCGGGGTTGATCTGGAGTGATCTGGGGTGTTAGATGTCTGTCCTCGTGAAAAAGGAAGAGAGGGAGAGGGAAAGAGGGGGAGAGATAGATGGAGAAGGAAGGGCAGGGGCAGGAAGCGCGAGATAGAGGGCAAGGGGGAGGGAGAGAGAAAAGCGGGGAGTGGGCTCGGCGCATCCATTCCTCTTCTCCGTTGACAACCTGCTGCCTACGTGCCCGCTCCCGCCACCCCCACCCTCGGCGGCCGCCCTCGCCTCCGCCTTGCCCTCAACACCCCCATGCACCCTCCATTCCCCTCAGGCCGGCCTCGACGACGGGCCGCCCTACGTCCCCACCGGCCCCGCCGCCGGCGGCCTCAACTTCGGCTTTGATCACATGGGGATTGACCCCCTGGACATGGCTGACGGCCTCGGCGGCGCAGGTGGGCGGGGCAGGGGGCCCTGTTTGCGCCCAGTAAGCGGTGGTTCCGCTTGCTTGACGACGCGCCCGGCGGCCCGCACAAGGCTGGCATGCTGCCGTTCGTTCGTTGGGTGCCGCGCGTGCGCGGGGCTGCGGCTCGCTTGGGGTGTGCTTGGGAGAGGGGGCGGTCAGGTGTGGCGTGGGAGGGGCGGGGCAGGGGCCCCCGCTGCAGTGTAGGCCCTCCACCCCACTCTCTCTTCCGCCCGCCCGCACGTCCTGCGCCCGCCCCACCCCGCAAATC